AGGATCCGGTACTCTCTCTGCTCCTGTGTAACATCTACATGAAGCTGCTGGGTGAGGGCATCTGTAGCCATGGGGTGAGGTATCATCAGAACGCTGTGTATCTCCCAGCTGTGTATCTCCACCCCTGGCGAACTAAGCAGCGTTGCTGATGTCTTGTTGTCTGAAGGTGGGGGCTCGGAGGGGGAACCACAGGCAAGACTGAGTGGCTGTGGGTTCTGGGGCCTCCTGGTGCTAGTTATGCCATCTTTGATACTGAATGGGGTTGCACTGCCCCAGACAGACCTGGTGAGCAATCCGGAGGTCCTTCGGGACTCACGACTCCTGCCTGAAGAGCAGGTGGCAGTTGTGGCTAGGAGCGCCTTTGCACACCAGTTGCGCCCATTTCTGGATCAGGAGGCTCTACCGTCACTCATGCTCTGGTCACTTTCTGTATGGATTGCTGTAATGTGCTCTACATGAGGCTGCCCTTAAAGAGTATTTGGAAACTTCAGTCGGTGCAAAATGCAGTGGTGTGGTGTGGGCAGTTCTGTGTGCACCTAGATCTGCGCAGGTTACACCTGTGCTCTGTGAGCTGCACTGGTTACCAGTTTGCTTCCGGGTGCAATTCAAGGTGCTGCTGATGAGCTGTACAGCCCTACATAGCACGAGGCTGGGTTACTGGAGGGACTGCCAGTGACTTCTGCCCATCCCATCAAGTCTGGCAGAAGCAGCTTGCTGCGGGTTACATCCCCTGGGGTGTCGTGCGACAGGCCCCAGCGGAAGGGGCTTTTCTGCCGCTGCACCCGCCCTGTGGAACATCATTCCCCGAAGGTCAGGCTGGCCCCGACCTTGGTGGCCTTCTGGAAGGGCCTGAAGATGCAGCTTTGCCATCTGGCCTGGGGACCAGAGAATGGTGTGGAGCGCATAAAATAGCTGCACGGTTCTTCAGTTATTGTGCTCTCCTGTTATTGCATTGTATGGTTTTTCACTGCTTTAACGTTTTGCATTGTTCGTGCGGCTGTTTATTTTCGGTTTTTTGGCACTGTTTATGTTTTCATTGGAAGCTGCCCAGAGTCACGAATGTGATATAAGTTGAACCTCCGAAGGAACGAGGCCGGAGCCCGCGGGGCCAGGGCTCCGACCAGACGATTCCTAACGTTCGGAGGGCCGACTTCCGGACAAGGGCCATCCCTGCGAGGTCGGCCATTCCAATCCCCAGCGTGTCCGCCGCGCTTGGGGTCAAACAGACGGATCCGGGGCCCGCGTGCCTTCCACCCAACCCGACAGCGTTCCTCCCCATTCCCAGCGCCTTCTCTCGAGCAAACAGGCCCGGGGTCACCGCGGTTTCAGACGCCTCAACCGCCGCCGTGGCGACGGGCACCCCGGGCCTCGCTTCTTCTGGGGCCCACCTGCCCACCGCGCCGCCTGATTAGCCGGCG